TCTAGCAAAGTGATGGAAAGGCCAAAGTGTGGAGAAAGAAAGGAACTGCTTATGATCCGAAGCATACAAGCTCATCTGAGAAGCCTGGTGGAGGTAATGTCATGGCTTGGGCGTGCATGGCTGCTTCTGGAACAGGCTCATTAATATTTATTAGGGCCCGAGCACGACTGTGCGAGGTCCCTATTGAATTTGCTCGGATTATTTTTTAGGGCCCGAGCACGACCGTGTGAGGTCCCTATTGAATTTGCTAAGATTATTAGGGCCCGAGCACGACCGTGCGAGGTCCCTATTGAATTTGCTCGGATTATATATTTTTAGGGCCCGAGCACGACTGTGTGAGGTCCCTATTGAATTTGCTCGGATTATTAGGGCCCGAGCACGACCGTGCGAGGTCCCTATTGAATTTGCTCGGATTTTTTTTTTTTTTCCTGCAAAGTAGGCCCAAATGACATGGCCTAAACATACTCGAAAACTCACCAAAATTTGCAAACATGTCAGAACCGGTGAAAAATTTCGTATTCTACAAGTTTCGCACATGGGCGTGGCAAAATGACTCGCTAGCGCCACCTAGAAAATTGGAAAAAATTAGCCCCTCGTTCACGTTCAACCTACATGTACGAAATTTTCTGGGGACATGTATCATATCAAGACGCACAAAAAAGCCTCAAGAACCCATTGCCTACAACAGAAAGTGACCTTTAACGAAGCAGCCCCCGCCGCACGTTTCACCTACGTGCACGAATTTTCTGTGGTACGTGTATCTTGTCCAGACGCACAAAAAAGTCTCTTGGAGCCATAGCCTAAACCCAACAGGAAGTCGGCCATTTTGAATTTTACGTCAAATTTTGGATGATTTACACACTTCGTACTTTAACGAACTCCTCCTAGGGATTTAGTCCGACCGACCTCAAATTTCTGCTGTGCCTTCTAAAGGCATTGAAGATGAAAAGTTGTGCTATTTGCGAGTTTTCGTCAATGGGCGTGTCCGTGGCGTGGTGTCAAAGATCAACTCTTCGCCATGACACGGAAGTTGTCGTATCTTCAGTGTACATGCTCACATCTGCACCAAACTAAACTAATCTTGTCCAGACGCACAAAAAAGCCTCTTGGAGCGATGCCCTAAAATCAACAGGAAGTAGGCCATTTTGAATTTTACGTCAAATTTTGGATGATTTACACACTTCGTACTTTAACGAACTCCTCCTAGGGATTTAGTCCGACCGACTTCAAATTTGTGCTGTGCCTTCTAAAGGCATTGAAGATGAAAAGTTGTGCTATTTGCGAGTTTTCGTCAATGGGTGTGTCCGTGGCGTGGCGTCAGAGATCAAGTCTTCGCCATGACACAGGAAGTTGTTGTAACTTCAGTGTGTATGCTCACATCTGAACCAAACTTTACGTGCTTGATAACTCTCCCACCCCGCTATGGAGGACCGATCCTGACACAGTCAGAAATAAATACAGAAATAAATAAATGCTCAATAAATAAATAAGCATCCAATTAAATACACAAAAAAATTAAGTAAATAAATAAATGTAGGTATTAATTAAATTATACAAGGAGACATAAATGTATATATTTTAATTAGTGCCTTTACTTATTCACCTTTGTTATAATTACCTTATTTATTTATTCTCCGTTATAATCTTCAACTTTATTTATTACTAATTTTTTTAATGTATTTATTTGTGTGTTTTAATATTTTTGTCTGTTTTATTCTTCCTTTGTATTTATTTACCTTATTTATTTTCTTTCTCTTTTATTTCTTCCTGTCCTTTTTAAATTTCTGTATGCATTTCTGCCTCATTATGCAAATGAGGAGGTGCTGTGTCTCAAGAGGTCATCTTCTCTGCTATTGGTGGACCAGTCAGACAGGAGAGCTCTAGGCCTACTCTGCCTGCAGACATCAACGATCTTGCCCCTCACACAGTCAGATGACTTCCTTCAGTGCGCTGAGGTGTTTAACAACTCTGAAGACAATACTACCAGCAATGTCTTCCTTCTCTTTTCACGTAGACACTCCGACAGACAGTGCTTTCAGTTTGCTGCATGCATGGACACAGAACTGCGGTATAGGGAGAAGCACACGGTCAGCTGGCTGCAGCTAAATCTGGAGTGCACTCGTATTCAATTCTGTATGGTAAATTCAGTTTTAACGGAGCAGAGCGAGCTGACAGGCAGAGTTAGAGACTTTTTCTGTCTGTTTCTCTATTTACAAAGATGCATGTTGCAGTCAGAGTCTTCTCTGAGATGAGAGCACGACATACAACACAATTTATCAAATTACACAACGGATATACAGTATGAAAATAAGATTGATTGGATTATACTCACAGGAAGTATAAAACCTGTTACATGCGTAACACAGTAATGTCAGGGAAATGACTTTACTTAGATTTAAGTACTGCAGTTGTACATTTGAAATACCTTCCTACCTTTCTGATAGGAAGCCTTCTTGAGGTGGTATAAAACATTTCTTCTTATATTCTGATTTGAGTTGTGGACAACTATGACCACATGAATTAAAAAAATTAAACATTTCACTGCCCAAGTCAGCTATAACACAAGTCTTGTTCATCAGACTACATGCTGTACAGTATTTGTGGACAGATTTTGTCCCAGGATTTATTATGCATTTCTTCTTCTTCGTTGCATGATTTAGAATAATAAGGTGAGAAATGGGTCTATTCTGAGTTCATCCTGCACTGCAGCAGCTAATAAAGTCCATTTAATCCCAAAAACGCTTTTCTTTTAGGCAGGCTGGAGCAGAAAACAACTCACCTTTCTCAAGTTGTACAGTAATGTCACATGTGTATGAAGGTGGATCAAACAAGCTAATCTTAAATGTCAAAGTAGAGAGGAGCCTAGTAGGCCTATTTATTTTCATTCATTACACAATATGAATGAGCTATGCAGACAGTTGTAAAGAAAGAACATCTTTTTCTTCTGTTCTCTACTTGTTATAGTTACACAGTATTAGGGGTGTGGGCTGTATTAAAAGTATCCACTGTTCTCCCATGCTCTAACACACAGTAACGATGAAATGTGTGCTGTTCTCACATTCTTCCTCTGTATGTACACATAAACAACAAGGCAGGGAAATATAAAAGGTTTATTTTATTGTTTGGGTACATACTTGTTCAGTGTACATGCTCACATCTGAAACAAACTTTACGTGCTTGATAACTCTCCCACCCCGCAGACATCTACACACCAATACCGATTTCTATTCATAGCGGCAAGTGCTATGTAGCTCCACATAGGGGACACAGGAAGTGACATACAACACCTTCATGTGGCGTCGGAACCGCGTAGGAAATTCACAGCTGCACCGGCAGAGCTCCAGAATGTGCAACTCGGCCGGCTCACACGCGGACGCGCTTACAAGTGCGAGAGCCCGCCCAACGCTGCTTGCAGCTTTAATTCTCATTGCTTCACAAAGGAACTGGAATTTGGTTTCACTTTTACTTGTATTAAAATGATGTAATGCTTATACCCGGCATGTACGCCGAATATCAACGTGGCTGCAGTCAATTCGTAAAATATATCACGTCAAATTATTCGCGTTATAAATGCTCGGCAACAGCCACGTTTATTATTATATTTTAAATTGCCCGGTTTCTGAATGGAGTTTGGTGGGACAGGTTCGTTAGTGAACTTGGGGGTCGAGCACTGGTCTAATAAACTATTTTATGTCTATAGTGTTTTTTCAAATAAGAGACATAATGACAGTAGGTTTAATCAACGATGGTTTGATTTAAATTCAACACAATTCCACAAAGTTTCATATCTATTTTAATAGCGAACAAAGTGTGACTTCAAGCGCCAAGTGATCCGTCTTCCGTCTTAAGTTGAGGCAAGAGATAGAAGGCAGCGGTCACGAGCCTATCGTCGATAATTAACTTTTTTTAAATGAAAAAAATCCTTTCAGTCTTACCTTCAGTTCTGGTCCTGTCCCGGAAGCGTAGTTTTCAGTGTACACATTCGCCTCTTCCCAAAACATATGAACTTTGAACTATGCAGTGGGTGGGATAGGCAGTAACGTTAGGGTTGCTAACTTCCGGGGGGAGGGGCAAAAGTAAAGTGCCTTCCCTTATAAATTCACGTCTTTAAGGTTCCAGTTACGAAACAATTCCGTATTTAACGCAACCCCATGGAGGTAACGTTAAACAAAAACCTTCCACTGACTGACTTATCATTGCTTCTCTTTGTTATGACGATAACCCTACTTCCTGTTTCTTAAAGATATCAGAAAGTATATAACAGACAGGCGGGACAAGATGATCATTTAAGCGCAGCGGGTTCATGTGATTTTTATTTGGAGATCCACGAAAATCAAAGATGTGTCATAGCATCGCTACGATAGACTGCATGAAGATCACTACTCGCAGTCTATCTTAACTTTAGGAGGGCTAGCTTTACTCCAACACTCCCTTACTTTACTCCTTTTTATTTTTTACATTGTATTTATTTTAAATTTTATTTATTTATATGATTTATTAATTTTAGTACGTCACCTCCTAGTCTTGTCTGTCCCCATGTCAATTATGCACTGTTCTGTAACATGCCACTTTGTATGTACATTTGTCAATAAAGATTAATATATATATTAATGGCCAGACCTGCACATGCGCACCACACAAAACACTAGCTGAAACTCAAAATTATGGATAGAGTTAGCTAGCTTGTTGTTACTTTGTCCATATATTATATCTCGTCATTCTATATAACTATACAATAAGTTTTTAACCAGCTTTGACGGCAGGGTTCCCTGTGCTTTCATCATGTTTCAGTGGTTATCAGTCCACGCGAGAAATAGCTTTTTACGGTACGGTAGGGTCGGTTCGGGTTCCACTCTGAGCTCCAGCTTGAGAAGCCATGTACACAAATGTAGAAATACAAAAAAACCGTGACATCTCCATCCGCGCGCTTCACTTGCACATGCACGCACGAGAAGAAGTGGGTTTGTTGACATGTGACGCAGTGACTGACGCACTCACGCACACTCCCCACGCCTGAATGGGCGGGGTTTGGTCTCAAAACACTGAGGGGACTCTCGCCGATAAACAACTTGAAGATCAAAACAATCTCTGAGGAACAGCCGGGCCGTTTCTGCACAACGGCCACACCCGAAGAAAAACACACGCTTATTTAGTCAGGTAATGTAAATCTGTAGGCTGTGCATCAATTAGCAACAGTGGTCTTTTATGAGCCTTGGATTTAATTCGTCTTTTGTTCTCTAACTACGCGAGATGTCTTTGCGTGCTTGTTATTGGGACTGAATGTCGTCCGTATTGAAATGTTGGTCTGTAAGTAGGACAACAATGTCCACTCACCCAATGCGAGTATCTGTGATTATAAGAAATGAAAGAGCACACAATATCGTCTCTGGACACACAATATCAGGTTATTGATAATAGGCCTGCTGAGGTTCTGGTCTCGACATTGTTTGTCAGATTGATCTGGACAGTGTCCTGCAGTATGTGTACAGGGAGGGCTCTGTTATCCACACACTGGGGGAAAACATGGGTCGATTTATGGATCTTTTGTTTGTCTTAAACGACAACAGCAGTCGTACTAAAACATGTACTTTCAACAGATAAGGATTATGCAAGTGTTATTGTGATCAGCTGACATAAGAATTTAATAAGTACAAATGGTATTAATCCTTCACATACTGTGAGTTGGATAAATTGGATGAGGTCGGTATGTGTAATCATTTTTTTATTACTTGTTGTGACAGTACGATTTCTCAGACAGCATTACAATAGTACTAAAATATAACTTTGATGCCAAGAATGGCCTGGGGACCTGTACCAGGGACCAACAAATACTGTGTTGATATAAGTTGCACTATAATAAGGCTTCCAGGGTAATCATTGTGGGACAAAAGGTCAGTCAGCTGCAGTCTGAGATCACACATAAAAGTTACTGTCCTTTCACATGAAAGAAATCTAAACCCGCAGAACAGATTATATAATATATTGCTGCAGTCAGTGTAATTTCAGCCTCTTGTATCATCTTGTTTCCCTCAGCTGCTTCAGTTCTAAACTGACCCCACATCACAGGATGTAACAACTCAGGCTGCTCAGGTTTCTGACAAGCAGTTGTTGATACAGAGTGTTCCTAGGTGTCCATGTTCGCAGGTCTTTGGGGTGTTTATTGGGACAGCCTAAAGGGGGAGCCATCTGCATTGTTAATTTGCAAAAGACACAAGCAGGGAGGAGGTTCAGGTGGAGGAGGCTACTCGGATTATCTCCGTGTGCACTCACATTTAAACTGTAGATTCATTTGATGTCATCAGTTAACATGTAACTTTCCAAACTAACGCCACTGTGTCTCTGGTGTTTTCTTGCAAATCACCTGTTTGCTGTTAATTTACAGATTGAATAGAGGCATTAAGATGATCGGAAAGATTCTTTCTCAGCTGCTTGGAAACGCTGGAGAGGACTTTGAGGCCGCAGACAACACTTATGAGGAGCTGATGGAGTTCGAGGAGGGAGGATGGGTCATTGTTAATCTCCCAGGTCAGTGATAGGCCCTGCTAGAGATACATAAATATGTTCTTCACATCTATATGATTTAAAAAGTTCTTGGCTCAGTGAGGGTGCATGTTACACTGGGATGGAAACTGATCTATTTGAGACGTTCCTTAAACAGAGAATGGGCCGTTATCAGCCCCTGAGGTGGATCCCCTGGAGAACCTGCTGATTGAGCACCCCAGCATGTCGGTCTACCAGATGAGATGCAGGATGAGCCCAGCGGAAGAGGAGGAGGAGGAGGAGGAGGAGCTAGGCTCTGATGAAGACGAAGAGGACACCTCCAGGTTACTTTCCATCTACACGCTCAAAACTCACACACGTACACATATTTCTTACATCTTGAAATGAATAACCACTGACCAGTTCACACCACTAAGACAAGTAAGACAAATTAATTTGTTATGAGCTTGAGATTCATGCTTTTTATTATCTATAGATATTTTTCATTTTTTAAAAAGCAGATTTTCTTCACTACACATACGATTATGAAAAATATGTCATTCACTCATCTGCCCAGTTACACTACAGCTGCACCACACTCACCTTAGCGCGACATTATCTGTGACGTGAAAACATCACTTTTCCACACAATGAACGAAAAAAAGTGTTTGTCCTCGTCATTGATCAGTTATAAAATCCTAGCACGCTACGAAGCTTCTTTCCTGCTGCTGACACCGCTGTCAGTCAAAGAGTCAGTCGCGCTGTACGGCAATAGAGGAGGTTCTACGAGCGCCTGCTTCAGCCGACTTTGATAACATTAGCCACTGAAGCTGAGAGCGTCAGAGCTGATCTGCCTCTCGCGGCCCATTTCCATCACCCATCTCTGTTTCCGGCACAGTTAGCTTTGATTTAGATTGGTTAGGACACTGAGACGAGCCTCAGCAAAAGTTTAAAGACTGCCCTGCTGTTATCCTGATGACTCTGTGTGCAATGACGCAGAAAAAAACACTTTAAGGGGGCAGACATAATATTAAATGGTCTCCACACCGACTGGCTTGGAAAACCTCATGTTCCTACATTCCTCCACCAGTGCCTGGTATTTTGAGAGATTCTGCTTTTCCATCCTCTCTTCCCACAGCTCAGTCAGCTCAAGCATGATGATGTTCCTTGAGCTTTTGGACCAGATTTGTAAATCTCCTGGGGTACGATGAGGCATCTTCTGAGGTCTGCTCTAATCTCTAGTGTTGTAGTCAAGACCGCGCAAACCGAGACCAAGTCAAGACCAAGACCAGAGTTTATTGAGACTGTGACAAGACCAAGACTTTTAGGGGCTGAGACCAAGTTAAGTCCAAGACCGAGGGAGGGCGAGACCGAGTCAAGAGCAGTTCCCCACATTACATGACACACAACAAAATGTGGAACGAGATCATAAGTACTTCTCAGATTGATCTGAAAGATCCACACCCGCATATAAACACTAAGAGCTGAAATCAACATAAGCATCTTTATTCAACACTACTTTTCCATGCTTACCATTGCGGGGAGGGGTTAACGGTGACAACACATTTTTTATTAGGGTTATTGGTTGCATTTGAAGCAATACGTTTTACATCCAATCAAAGTTAGGATGTTAACAAATAAATTAGACAATGCAAAAGCAATTTATTGATATTCTCAAAGTTATGGTCTTGACTGGTCTTGAAATAAAATCTTGAGTACTACAATACTACTAATCTCCCAGTCTGCCCCAACAACAACACAAAGACTGGAAGCAGGGGAAACATCTAGCCTGACTACAAAAAGCTAATTATAAAAGCAACAACAGGTGGTTATAGGGTGTTGTGCTGGACTTAATGCACCCTGTCAAGCAATAGTCTGGTGTATATAGCACTTATAAAACTTTAACTTAATTCAGGTGTTAAACATACAAGATATAATATGTCAATTAGCAAGCTGGTATGTAGGGCTGAAAAAACATTAATCAAAAAGTATAGAATATTATCCAAATTGCAATACCTGCAATTTTTTGATTAAGGTAAAATGTGTCACAACATCCATTGTGGTGCTACAGAGATCCCCCGGGCTACAAATCATATTCTCCAGATGGAAGGGAACATTCTTGTTTGGTACAGACCCCAGCAAAAATCCCATCATCATCATTTTAATGAAATGCAAAGATTACCATTCCCACTAAAACCGTGACCATATCACAACAATCTGCCAATCACAATATGACATTCTTGCATATCACTCAGCTGTTTCCCAGTTTCCAGGCCGAAAGCCATTAAGCTTCAAACTTAATGGACAGACACGATAGTTGGATCAATGTTCTCATCTCTCAGCGAGAAAGCAAAGAACATTTTGCCCCAAATGTTTCCAGATTTTGCCTTTTAAAAGATGAAATGTCCGGAGGCAAGGTCAAGGTTTTCAAGGTCAAGAATGGACTTTCATGCTTAGCTAACAAAACAATTTTTGGCCACTTCAGTTATTTTGGGGGTGTAATGGCGGACATGTATTTGCGCAACTAAAGTCAATGGATGTTACAAAGAACAAGACTATTTTTATCCCAATACTGATATTCATTATTTTCAAGCTTTAATCCAAAACTAACCTTTTGAAAAATGAGGACCAACCAAAACCTTGCAAAAGTATCCTCACATTCGGGGTCCAAATCTTAAATTGGTTCTTACACGACAGAAGAGCCAGAACATTGATCCAGAGCTGGTGTACAGCAGTACTTTATCTCTCACATATTGTATTTCACCAACACATACTGTACTTCCCCTGTGTCTATCCAGGTCAGTGGCAGTGAGGCGACACATATCCTGGCGTCTGGCTGCCTGGGGAATCCCTCTGCCCTGCAAGGTCCAGCTGCTGGCTGTCCAGAGAGCCAGGACCCAGGTTGAGCGGAAGAAGCTGAGCCGCAGCGCCCTCCACAGGCAGAACCTGGCTAAGATGCATTTCTCCCCGGCTGAGAAACGCTACGGCCACTTCAAGCAGCCCTGCCAGCGCCTCTGCAACTACTGAGCAGGAGCGATGGTCTCGCGTTGCCTTCACCATAGCCAGGTGTGCTGCACAGTGCCTTGACTCTGAATTACTCAGGTTTTCCACCATTGTTTCACCTCACACAGTTTGTTCTTCATATCCACCGCGGCAAAGCATGTGAGAGTCACCACTTTCTGTGCAGTAAAGTGATCGAATATCCGCCAAATGAACCACAGCAAAACATTTTTACTTTAATATAGGCAGCCTACACGGCAAACCTCACGTCTGAAACCACTGAGAACACAGAACCATTGTCCTCTGACATCATGAATGACACCCCCTCAGGTCATACGTAACAGTTACTTTCAAATTAAAGCCTTTGTACCTTATCACATGAAAACAGTTTAGTTGTTTGACTTGTTTAGATTGATTAGCTATCAGTAGGGGTGAGGCTTATAGGAAGCTGGAGGTGTGTGAAAGTTATTCTAAAAGGTGTGTGAAACAAATATGAAAAATTAAAACCTTTAGAATACTTTGCTTTAAATTATGATGCAATTGGATTAAAGCACGCTTTGATTGGTTATTCCTGGGTTGTTTTGAGTATGTACTTTATTAATGTATGTGCCTTAGCTTTAGATGTTCTTGTTGGAAGTGTATTAAAAGTTAATTTCATATCAGGTTGATCTATACAGTATTCATGTTGTGCGAATACTCTGAGGAAAAATTTCAAAACCACTGTTCATGTTGTGTGTTGAGTCTACCATTTTTTACTTTTCAGCGCGTACTTACTTTTTTCATGTTATTAAATTTTTTCATTTTAGACTCACGAGTGTAAATACAGTTGAATATTGTATTTTTCTATTTGTGCAGATTTACAAAATGTTCAAAAAAAGTGCAAAATAAATATTGTTTTCTTAAGGTTTAAGTGTATTTTATTTGACATGGACATTGGAGCTACAACATATAATTATGCAGAAGCACCAGATGCACTGGATTTGGTGCTCTTAGCAAAATACAATCACGCTATAGGTGGTGGTTGTATGTGTTTAATGTGGCAGTAATTGAACAATAGAATCAAACATGTTTAAGGCTCTGGGATGATGACACAAAACCTTCCCTCTCATTTTCGAAAGTCGTGTATCTTTCCCATTAACCTCTTCACACGCTCTGGGTCGACTGCATTGGCCCAGTGGCCGTCCTCCTTGAAATGAGAACCGATGATGATTCCATTTGCATCAAGGTAGCTTTGAATATTATCGTAGGTCACTCCAGAACCTATTAGTACTGGGATTCTCACAGACTGGGAAACCTCTGCAAAAGCAAAGAAACAACAGAACAGTGGTAACTACAGGTTTTAGACACACACACACACACACACATTTACATCCAGACATTATAATCTAATGTGCTAAACTGCACCTGAGATTTATGGTTATGTCAAAGCAACACACTCTTTTATATAGCTGGGCCTGTTCATGAATGCTAATGTTGATGAATGTCTGTTGTAATGGTGAGAGGGGACTAAACCAAGTGAACTTTGGACACAGTATACTGGCATGTGAGCTCCAGTATCACTGTCTGACCCGTGCCTGCACGTTTGTGTTGACAAGATAAAAGAGAGTGTGTGTGTGCGTGTGTGTTTGAGTGTGTGACAGCATGCCTGTTTAGCTCAAAGTGTTTATCTTGTCTCAGGTGTCGTGTTGGAGACTCTGCTTAAAATAGTTGTTGCTGTAAGAGAGACATGGTCAGATTTCAGACCCACTGACCCTCGGCAGATACAAACCTCTGAAGCCAAGAGGTATTCAAATTCTGGTAGACCACCACAATGTAAAATCCTCTATTACAAGTAAAAATCCTCCTTGCAATATTTTACTCAAGTAAAAGTACAGGAGTAGTTCCAGCTAAATGTAGTAAAGTGCTGGTACCCATTATACAAGTTAGGTATTCTGGGAAGAGATATAGAAGTTTCTGCTGCTGCCCCACCAGACTGCAGAGCAAACTCAATTTCACTCTATAACTTGTTATATTGCGACAATAAACCTACCTACTTTATAAACTGCATAATATTTTTCTAAGCAGCTCATATGTTTTCCATATAAAATTTGATTCTGCATGGTAACGAGTAACAAGTCAAATAAATGTAGTGGAGTAACAATAAGTGCCAAGGGCATCACTTTGTGTTGAAAGGTGGCGGGGACATAAGGGCCCAGATTAGGGGTGTGATGACACACTTGGATCACGAGACGTGACGATGAAGAGAACATAATGAGAAAAATTTTATTTAGGAGAAATATGAAATGGTGAAATATCTGAGAGGGGGGTCTGGGGGTCCTTCACCAGAAAATTGGGGCATTAAACACTTAATTTCCTGCATTCTGGAGACATTTTCTGAACATTTTAGAAACATCTGCTAAAATGCTCCAATTATGTTCACCAACTCACTGTGTCTGTTTGTGTACAGTTGTTTTCTCAGAGCTTTTTTGCCTGTTGAAACTGATACGTCCGGTGTAGACGTTTTTTCACAGTTTCAGAGGAAGACATAATCATTTATTTTTGCATCCTTATGCAAAATGTTTGAGAGGCTTTATAATAATAATAATAATAATATAATAATAATAATAAATTGAATTTGTATAGCGCTTTTCACGAACTCAAAGTCGCTTTTCAGAGCAGATAATGTTATGTTCTAGGAAAGCGAAGGACTGTGCTCTTGTTAAGTTTACTTTGCTAAAAAAAAATTTAAAAAAAATTAACATCTGAAGAGTCAAAACCGTTCTTTTGTTGTGTTAACAACAGTGCTGTCAGATTTGGTAAGGCCAGGGGCTATGGAATATTAAATCATCCTTCTTTGCTCACAACATCTTTCTTACCCTCAGGTGTGCATAAACTACAGGTTATGAACTTCTTTTTGAAAAACAAAAATGTGAAATTATTGGTTGTCAGTATTGGCTGAAAGAAATCCGTATCATGCATCCCTGAATGTACATGAGGTTTGGCATGGGCCAAACCATGACACATATGAAAGAACATATCCTCGTAGCTTCTAGCTTCATGGGGCATTTCACGCCAAGTTTTTGGGTATTTCTTTGTTTTGATAACTGAAGCAGCTTACTTTAACAGGCATAATTTTTTGTTCACGGGGGCAGTGAAACAAGCTGTAAACACAATTATGACATATTATCACCTGATAAAGTTGATATGGCGAACGTACTAGCAAACAGTTGGCTATTTACACGCGGAGCAAACACGGAGCAACATAAGCATAAATTCGTGTCTGTCCACCATGAAAATAAACACATATTATTCATTTAAATTGAATTTAAAATCATGTTTAAAGGACAATCAAGCGTGTGACCATTGTCTGTGAATTATTCAGAAACACCTGAAGAGTGCTTTGTTTTATGTTTTTTAAATTGTGTCCTTGTGAAAGGTATCTTGTTATATGTATAAGTACTGTTGTTCCCGTTTTAGTGTATTTTATGCAGTTGCGATAACACCTGCCCAGGGACTACAGTCGAATATTAACCAAGCTGGCTAAACTGGCACATTTACAGAAATATTTATCAATGTGCACTGTCTCTGTAAACTTAAAGTCTATAAATAAAAATAAATAAATAAACAAAACATTCCACTCGGGCGCAGAGTTCAGATAGCTTAATGTCCGTTAACACTTGTAACACTGTATATGGTGTGTGTGAGAGAGACAGAGGCAGAGTGGGAGTACATTTCCTATAGAGCCATAGTGCAGCCAGGCTTCAGATGGGTGCCATATTGGGTGACTGCCGATCAGTGGTCTGAATGTACACTCACTGACAAATAGAGGACAGAGACTTAAGATGAATTAAATATAAGGCTGTGGTACTTAAATACTTGTGTTACTTGCATTTCTGTTTGATTTCATTGTTAATTGAATACTTTTAGGTTTTTAACATTTTATAGACTACATGATTCATTAAAAAGACCAATGTTGAATCAATAAAATCAATGTTGAAAATAGCTATAAGTTGCAGCCCTATATTTCTATCCAAAATGATGCCAAAGTGTCGAGCTGTGCATGATCAAAGCTACCATTCATTGCAGCACCATATGGCTCAGGCAGTAGGAAGTGTGGAGTTTTTGCAGCAGTACCTCTGAGCTCCCGCGGATCAGCCTGCCCTCCTGTGGCCACTCCCGTGATGATGAGTCCGTCTGACAAGAAGAACTCAGCAGCACGCGCCGTCTCTTCAATGCTCACATCTGATGTCAGGGCATGGGAGCTGGGAAAACACACATGTAGAGTACATACACAAGCATGCATGTAAAACTGAGACTAACTCTGGACAGCGGGCTGAAACACAGTTAAATTAATTCAAACTAAAATACTTTGTAAAATTGTCTTAAAACTCCCCAAACCCTGACAGCCCATCAAAACTTCCAAACCCACTATGTATTTTATTTCAAAACACAAAGTGAGTAAGCAAAGGTTACTAAACCACCAGCACTGGGGGAAAGCTGGTGCTGGCTCTAAAGAGCCAAATGTCTGTTATTGTGGGGTACAGTATGATCATTACTGAGCAACAATCTGGTATTAGGGAGGAATTAAGACTTACACATTAAGATGTTACAGTCATGGCTGTTCCCCCTGCAGTTTCACATGTGTTTGTCAGGGGGCACCCTGTGTTTCAGGATTTCCCTGTCTTTCTCTCTCTGTCCTTGCCTATGTTGACAGTGTGTTGTCATGGTTTCCCCTCCCCTCCTCTGTGGACTCACACACCTGCCTACAATCAGCTCATCACTCCGCCACAGACTCTGCACACCTGTTTGTCATCAACTCATCCTCCTGCAGTATATCTTCTCTGGCTCTCCAGTCACTCATCGTCAGCTTGTTGTTCAGCCTTTCTGGTAGCTACACCTTTGCGCCAGGATCACTACCCACCGACCAGTCTACCTGCTCACCTGTCTTGCCTTCCAGCCATTGCTCCTCAGTAGACCAAGCCCACACCTTAACCCCCTGTATGCAAAAAAGACTGTCTTTCAAATGCTAGTCCAGGTCTTGTGATTGGGTCCTTCACACATTCTTAACATTAATTACTGGGTACCCATTCTAACATGAGCATGACCATCCTTGAACAGCATAAAGGTACAAACAAGAGTCTGCCATCAATGTTTTCTGGTGAAGTGTGTGTGTGTGTGTGTGTGTGTGTGTGTCAGAAGGTAGGGACGCTATAGAGATGTTCTGTATAGCTATTGGCTGGGGTTCTGGCATTAGATCTGTTTAACTTATACTCTAAATTGTTTTACAAAAAACCCTTCAATTTTGATGAGTGATATACAACCTTAAACAAGCCTATATGACTTTATTAATTAAAGTAGTACATTTTATTTACATGAAATCCTAAAAATTAGATTAGCAATTAACAGGTTAAGCATGTATATATAGAAATTGGCTGAGCTGAAAACAAAAAGAGCATAATATGGGGAATTTACTACCACACTAACAAGTGCAGCAATGAGGACACATAGAAAGTGACTAAAAACAAAATGAATGCCACTTTTTAGTGTTTATATTTGCATCTGTCAGAAATGCAAAAAGTGTAGTGTAACTTCAAAGGTGTGTTTGAAGAATATTTTACAGGAAAGCAGCTGTTTCACATAGGAGGCTACGCAAAAACAATGCAACTCTGAATTATACATATTGCTTCAGATAACTTTGTGTAGAGACATTCCAAAACACCTCTTAGGAGGTGTTCCAGATTTTGTTTTGACATTTTTGCCTTTATTGAAGAGTGGACAGAGTAGGGACAGACAGCAATTGAGGTGAGAGAGACAGCGGTATGACATGCATCTAAGTCCAAAATTTCCCATTCAGCTGTTTGATAAATACAGGCGCTTTTAACGACAAATTTTAATTTGCCAAAACCTGCCAGGCCCAACTAGCTGCTGACTCTAATAACAGGCTTAAATCTTGATGATATTGTTTGTCTAGTCACCCCAAAACTATATGATTCTTCGTTTACTAAATGGATCAGTGGTTAGTCCTGCCATTGGTAATTATGTCAGTATCATCAGAGAAAAGGTAGTTCAGAGTTTACCACTACAGTTGCATTCAGAAATATAAATACGCTATGTGTCAAATATGCTTTCAGGTCTTTTTCTGCATACATATGGCTAATCAGGTTCTACTTATCAAACTACTAATCAAACTGTACAGATGGGGATCTCACCTGTGCTTCTTTTTGATGTCTGTGAAGATCTGCACATGTTCAGCTCCAATCTGCTTGCGATATCTCAGTAAGTCCCCAGCGCAGGCATTCAGGAGGCCCTCATCAGCCACGTGAGAAAAGACGAATCCCTCAGCCCTGATGAAATCCAGACCTGTGATCATCCAGAAACATTAGAATACTATGGTTGACTAACCGGTAGCCACATTGTTTTTGCCTGACATACAAGTAGCTGACCTTTGTTTGTATGAAATTTATCATTAACAGCCAAACCACACAGCCGCTTATTTCACTGGTAAACATACCATTAAATTAGAGAGGGTGACCAGACAGTGAAATAAGCTACTGTATTGTTTGGTAGGGATATATGTTTGCACACATTTTGGTCTTGATAATACATGACTAAAGACCTCTGTAGTGTTCATTTCTGTTCTAAAAGCTCTGACTGCACATGATCATAGCCTCTTATTTATACAGCACAGTGATAATTGAACTGATGTAAAGACTGAACCTGAAGCCAGAGCTATGGCTAGTGCTTGCTGGTTAGCAGAAGACAGTATTTGCACTCCGAGCGGGAGGAATGGACAGATGCTTCTCACAGCAGCACATACTGCAGTCATACAGGCACACACATCAGGGCCCACAGAGAAGGAGTAAGGGATATCATGCATGTTCTCAATGATCACACCATCCTGAAAGAGGGGTTTACAAGCAATCGTTACAGGTCTGCATGGAAAGACTTCAAATGTGTAAGGAATTCACACAATGTCCAATAACTTACAATCCTTGCGTCACGGTAGATTGCTGCCTCCCTGCATGCTTCTTCCGTGATTTGGGACATTTTCAAGCAACTCAGGGGGGTACCTGACATAGATGAGAAACTTAGTTACATACAATACAAATCATAGATCTCAAATTTGCAGAGGTAAAATGTAACTAACTGTACTTCAAAACATCTTTGAAGTATTTGTACTTTACTGTATTTCCATTTCATTCTATTTTACACTTCTACCCCATTCAGACAGTACTGTACATTTTACTCAACTATGTTAATTTGACAGTTAGAGTTAGTTACATATGTAGTTACTTTACAAATGATGGTTTTTCATACAAAACATATGATTGGCTTATTAAAACATTATTAACACATTGTTGTACATTAGTTCAAATAGCTTCACATAGACCAACTCAGGACCAACTGTAAGAGAAAAATGCTACTTTATGCTACATTAATGTATGGTCAGAAATAATCTAATAGCAGAATGTAACAGTATAACATTTACATGGCCCAGTATTCTACACTTACTACTTTTTGCTAATACTGTGCACTTTTACATTCTCAATACAGGACAGTTGTAATGGAGTATTTTACAGTGAGGTATTGCTACTTTTACTCCCAGTATGTAAAGAAACTAAATACTTTATCCACCACTGAAAACTTTACATTATCATTAGAGGACATAAGTCAGTGCAGTCTTAGTTTACCTGGTAAGGCTTTCACATGAATCATTCCAATAACCACGGATTTTAGGCGACCAAAAAGGTTCACAAACTTCATCTTCCCGTTTTTGTAGAGAAACCAGGGAGCAGAGAAACAAATCTAGCTTGTGTCTTTCTAAGCCTGGGAATCACGTGACTGGTCAAGGGTCAATTTTGAAACAAACAGCATTTGAATAGTTAACCATCTTCAAAAATCTGTATCAAACCGGTAGCACAGAAAAACAAGTGTTATCCTGCATTACCCAACCGTCTGGATTAGAAACTGACTTAGAAAAGGGTGACCTGGTTGAAATTGGAGGACAAGTATGGCAACCCTTGCTTGAAATGGGCGCCCAGGCAGAAGCATCCGCAGGCTAACATAGTTATTTTTTGCTAAATAGCAGATGCGTCATGGGTGACAGCAAGTGACAGCGTTACGTGGAGTCTATAGGGCGAAAATGCTCAATTATCTCATACTAATTTGGTCGGGTTATGTTTTATTTTAGGCGTAATCCAAAGGACTACAGCTTTGTTTACATCTGACAGACTAGCCACGCGGTGCCCGGGCACTTCCTATTTGGAAGCGCCGCCCCTGCAGCTGTCACTACCAGCAGGCACGCCTCCCGTTTGCCGGCTAACTTATAAACTTATTTTTACTTATCTTCAACACAATGTACGCCTGCTATTTCAAACACATGCGCTCTGCACAGGCTACATACGTGAAACTGTAGTAAATGGAGTTGAAATTAAAGAATAAAGAGGCGGCGAAACTGGAAGTTTAGCGCCAAGTTAAATCCACTCCTCTCTGACGTTGATGCATCAAGTCATCTGTTCCGTACAAGGCGCCAGTTCAGTGCAACTAGCCCGGCCTGGCGCACACACGCAGAGAGAGCACCTCCGAGTCTGAACAACAAGCGAAGTTAAACAGTATTAATATTTATATTTTAGAGGAGGGCAAGAGTGAACTTCAAGGGGAGAATCTTGAGGTGAGTGGATGAAACGAAACTGTTCGTTGTTCGAGTTGGTTAAGATAGTTTCAGCTGCAAATGTTGTAGCTAAGCTTACTTAAATGACGAGTAACGTTAAACCACAAGATGTTGGAACGTTTGAAAAGTTGGTATAGATGTATGGTTTGTATGAAGTGTCGCTTGTGTTCGCTGGGTGCTCGGTGTTGTTGCTGTTAGTGTTAAATTGTATAAAAAAAATAGGCGTCCTGGTTGTGCCTGTCGTTCGGCCATTATGTGGCAGGCCAGCTATCCAAAGTTAGTGTTGGAAAATAACCAAGTTCCCCTTAAAAATACGCAAAATAACAACGTTAAGCTGGTAATGTGGTGTCTGCTGTTTGTCACCGACTCGTTTCATGAATATCCTTGCATTATATGGTACTTTTTGGCGACTTCTAACTTTGCGTACCGTTTCCATTTCCCCGCGCCAGGCTGAGTTGGCTTTGTCAGAAGGAGGGAGTTGAGAGTGGGGGTTGGGAGTGGATTGAATGTGTTTACTTAATCCCCCAAATAAAATATAAAAGCGTGTCTCATTCACAGGTTTACTCTGAAACTGACACATACCCTTCTGAGGATAATGCGAGGAAAACGGTGAGTTGCATAGTTATTTCATCCATGGCTCTTTTTAAGCGCGTCAATCAAAGTGTGTGACGACAGAAAGAAAAGTTACGTTGATGGAACCTTAGCCATCCGGCTAGTTAGCTTGTTGCTATAGGACCGTATCTTGACAATATTAACATGTTTATCCAAGCATGTTAAAATGTTTGTGTTGACTCTCGAGCCTTACAGCTCCGTTTGTGTTCTGTGTTGTTAACTTACAGGGAAGAGACAGAACCGCAGTCTGTTGCTCCCGAGGCACCCAAGGAAAATACAGTACGGTCGAGAAAGAGGAAGGCAGATGTTGCCATTGTAAGTAGTCTGAAAGGCTTGCAGACTAGCCTATATCTGGCCTAACCCCCGTTTTCAGCTGCAGCTGTGTAGGCCCAATTGAAAAACCAAAATGTAAAACTGACGCCACACAGATGTCCTGTGCTTCATTTAAGTATGACTGATCCATGCAGCTGATATTTATATTGCATATGACTACTGTCGTTTAGTAATACTTTGAGCTTACAAAATAAAACACAGGATTCAAATTCTGCATTTCACAACTCTCATGTGCTGTGGAAACTAATCAAGTCAAACCAGCTCTGCTGCTGAACCGAATCACATGCAAAACATGTTTATTTCCTCCTTTTGATCCTCCAGTATTTGCAAGATCTGGATGAGGAGGTAGCAGAGATGACTAAGAAGAAGCAGCGTGACTGTGAGGTAGGCTTAGTTATCTTTCCACTCTTGGTGTCACTTACCTCACTCTAGTCTTAAACTTAATTCTGTTAGGCCTGTTAGTAGATTCAGTCTCTGGGTCTCCCTACTAGGTCTGTATTATGTCAAATGCAACGCTGCTGGTAATTGAGATTGGCTGCTTATTGCAAGTTTAATGGCTGATCCATTGTTAATGCTGCATTAATTAGACCTTTTTAGATGTGTCTTTCAGGCCTATATGTTTGCAGTGAGCATAATGGAGAGTCAGCCCTACTACAACATGTTTCTATACTAGAGTTTACCCTCTGATTTTCTTTGTGTCCCCTCTGCTGTCCCTTGTTCCTGTGAAGCTGGGCTGGAGTGCTGATGCTGGTTACACAAGTCCACACAGGTGGATCCCCACACCTGATCAGGAAGAAGACCAACCTGTTGCCCATATAAACGCATGCTTCCCCCACTACAACTTTAACAACATATTTGTGACCCCCGTGCATTGTACCCCGCTCCCTGCGCTGTGGTGAGTTCTGTTGCTGCTGCCATCTGTGCTTTCTCTTGTAGCTAAGCACACACAGATGGATTTCAAATTAAAGACACATTAGCTAAGCCTAGGCAACAGGCCTAGAAGGCTTGTCTCTTCATTCAGAGGATTGCTTTTTTCCTACAAACCCTGTTGGAACTCGATTGAAAATTGTTCTCTGTATTTTCTGTTCGTGTGGTTTATGTATCTGTCCAAGGAAAATCATACTTTAAATGCAGTTAATATATCTTTGCACAACAAGGGGTCCATTAAAGTTACCATTGTCTGTCTCTCTTGTCATCAGCTGGGCCAGTAAGGATGTGGTATGGAACAACATGTTGGAGAAGGATAAGACCTACACCAGGGACGTCCACATGATGGAGAAGCATCCTCATCTGCAGCCCAAGATGAGGGCAATTCTGCTGGACTGGCTCATGGAGGTCTGTAGCATGTCTAATTACACGCTATACAATAAACAAACATGGCACAGGGTGTAAAGGTAACTGAGGAATCACAAAGCCATGAACTGTGTATTAGAAACCAAAACCTCACCAAATTCAACCCAACAGGAAACCAAATGAAAAGTGTATTTTTGCACTGACAAGAGTATAAATAATCCACCGTTCCTCTCAACAACCCCAAAATGATTTGGTGACATTTCTAAGTCTTGATGGCAAGACGTACATAACACCTATTAATCAACGCATTCTCAATTGTTGTGCCTTTAACTAAATATACTTAAACCAAACTCATTCACCGAGAGTTTAAAGAAAATAATATATCCTTGGATTAGATAGAGTGATAGGTACTTTATTCATCTCCACAGTGAAGTTAGTGGTCTACATAAAATAAATAAATACATCCACAACTTACACAAAACAACCATGAGGTAGGCATACAATTAACAAATCATTCAAACTACTAGATACCATAAACAGAATTACAAAGGCTTTTAAGATATAGTCCTATATCTATGCAGATGAGTGTAGAAGGACACGCGTTGTCATTCAGAAAAAATAAGTCTCCTCTCCCTGCCCAGAGGGGGTCATTGTATATTTGAATTGCAGTGACAGGAATGACTTCCTGCTGCGGTCCTTATTACCGCAGAGCTGAAGAAACTTTGTTGTCCAACCAGTACTTCGTGCAGGGGATGTAGGGATGAAACGGTATGAAAACTTCAGATCATGATTATAGTGACCAAAATTATACAGTTATCAGTATTATCATTATTATTAGTTATCGTATTATCACATTAAGCCTGTGGCAAAGAACCTTGGTGTTTGGTTTGATAGTAATTTAAATTTCGAGCAGCACACCACAAAGCTTGTTCAATCATGTTTTTATCAACTTAGAAATATAGCAAAAATTCAATCTATGTTAACTTTTAAGGACACGAGACCATTTTACACGCCTTCATCTCATCACGCCTGGATTATTGCAACAGCCTTTTCACCTGTTTAACCCAAAAATCTACTGATCAACTCCAGACTGTCCAGAACTCAGCTGCCAGGCTTTTAACCAGAACAAAGAAATATGACCACATTACTCCTATTTTAGCTTCATTACACTGGCTCCCAGTATGTTTTAGAATTGACTTTAAAATACTATTGATTACTTTTAAAGCTCTTCATGGCCTCTCACCTTGTTATATTTCTGACCTTTTTAGTCCCATACACACCAGCACGTACCTTGAGATCCTCGGGCAGAGGTCTGTTGTCTGTTCCAGAGTCTCGACTGAAAACTAAAGGGGACAGAGCGTTTGCTGTCAGGGCCCCGAGGCTCTGGAACAGCCTGCCCGAGGAAATCAGGTCGGCTGAGTCAGTGAACTCTTTTAAGCCCCTTCTTAAAACATACTTTTATAGGAGAGCCTTTCCTGATCTTATTTGACTTTATTTTATCCCTTTTATTTTATTCTATTTTACTAATTTTATAATTATCTGCATTTTAGTCTCTTCAATGTTTTCATGCTTTTATCTTGTATTGTTTTTGTATTATTGTCTTTTGGGTATTATTGTCTTTACACTTGTTAAAGCACTTTGTAACTTGTTTTTGAAAAGTGCTCTACAAATAAAGATTGTTGTTATTATTATTATTATTATTATCACAGTATTGTAAAAATGTGCCGAGAAAGATTAAAATGTACTGAATACACACACTGAAACCATTTCAACAAGTTTTATATCGGAAACGACCAATACAATTGCCATTTTGTTTGCATAAAAAATAAACTGCAAATACCTTTTTGTAAACATGAAAATCAAATGCAGTATCAAGATTTTATAGTATATAGGTAATACAATGACCCTGTGGACAGTTACATGAAAACAAATAAGTCTTTAGAAGACAGTGATAGTAACTGAGCCCTAAAACTGACATAAATGCAGAGCAGTCTGTAGTAGGGGTGGGAATCACCAGAGACCCCACGATACGATATTATTGCAATTTTAAACATATTGCAATTTATTGCAATAATTTATCTTTTTCCCAACTTCAAATTGTGTCTCCAAAGCAAAACTCTAGTGGACTGAAAGACAAACTTATTGTAACAATTTATGTAATAAAAGATCAATACTTGACGTTCGTGTTACGATATGATATTGCCTTGCAAAATATCGCAATACTATGCTGTATTGATTATTATTATTTTTTTTTCCCCCCAACCCCTAGTCTGTAGCGTTTCTAGATATGCTGGTTGGGTGATTAAACAGCGCAACGTGTTATCATGTGCAGTGGATGAATGGAGTCGACGACGCACACAGCAGCAGAACAACGTGTAGCGTTTTTACAAGAGCAGCAACACTGAGAGCTTCAGTTTACACGCGATTAGCAAGTCAGAGACAAACTAAAGCTAAAAGTTAACTCACCCTGCGTTCACTATAAGGTTATTTTCTTCAATCAAGTTTCCCTCAGCACTCTCCATAAAAACTAAAATACGACCGGACTTCAGAGTGGCTGAAAAATCTCTGCAGTGTTGTCTTACACAGTGTTGTTGTTTCCCCAAAAAAACTGTGCGTGCGCGCCTGCTTCTGGGAGACGCTGGACAGGGTTTGCCGTGAGTTTATAACAGCGCAGTTAACCGTACCCGGTTATCATGGTAATTAAAATGTGTACGGTAATAATAACCGTCGGGAATTTTACCATGGTTTACCGTTAAACCGGTAATCGTTTCATCCCTAAGGGGATGTGAAGTGTTCTCCATAATTGTGTACAGTTTGACTCGAGAGGCTCCAGGGCAGTCTCCAGCACAGAGCCAGCCCTCTTAATCAGCTTTTCTAACTTCTTAGTGTCACTGGCTCTGATGCTGCTGCCCCAACAGACGACAGCAAAGAAAATTATACCTGCAACAGACTGGGGGGGAAAAAATGTGCAAAATCTTTCTGCACACATTAAAGCACCTAAGCAAAAAGTAGAGTCAACCTTCACCTGGCTCAAGCTAAGGTTTAGGAGGTGGTGTAGGGGCTGACAGAGTGAGGCATGGTTCCTGGTGTGGCTGTGTTGAAGTCCATTTTTGCAGGGGTTAGTCAAATCACAGGGGGGGTGTGAGGAGGCAGCAGCTGTCGGCAGGGAAGATGTGGTTTCTGTGTAGCTAAGGGAGCTGAAGGTCCTATGGGCCTAGTGAAGAGTGCATTCAGGCTTCCTTCCGCCTGACTCCCCTTCACCTTGAACCCTGTGATGGCCTTCATACCTGGCCACACATCTCTCATGATGTTTTGCTGGAGCTTGCTCTCCAGCTTCCATCTGTATGCCTCCTTGCACATCCTCAGCCTCACTTTCAGCTACCTCTGCACGCTTGTCAGTCATTCTGTCCCCATCCCCGAAGGCTCTCTTCCTCCTCTTCAGTAGCTCCTTTAGTTCACGGGTGATCACAGGGTGCTTATTGGGAAAGCATCGCACTGACCTGGTGGGTATGATATCAACACAGAAGTTTATGTAATCTGTTATGCATGGCGTTGGTGTCGTCTCGATGGGGCTCACAGAGTAGTCCCAGTCTGTGGCCCTCAGAACATCCCTGCAGAGTCTCTCCCACCCCCTCACTGTCCTAGTGGACACATCTTGCTCCCAGACAATGGGTGTGTAAGTCGGTGTGAGACGCACCAAGTTGTGATCTGATTTGCCAAAAGGGGGGAGAATTCAGTGTTTTCTTGTCGCTGTGGGGCATTTGTGTCATGTCAACTGGAGCTCCAGCATCCGGTTGGCACTACCATGCCGCCATCTTAAGCACTAGCACTAATCAGAAATGATACAAATGGGTCTGTTCCAATTAAAACCTCTAAGCAAGCTTATCCTGATGAACCCATGTTGTTCCATCATTATCGGCGATTTCCGGATGCCATTAAATGTCCATAATTCACTCTCATTAGCAATCTTACTAGAGTTTATGGTTTGAAGTCATGGCCATGGGAGGCCACATCACTGCAATGATGTTCTGTTTGTGTGCTTGCTTTAGGTGAGTGAGGTATACAAGCTGCACAGGGAAACATACCACCTCGCCCAGGACTACTTTGATCGCTTCATGGCCACACAGAGAAACCTCTTCAAATCAACGCTGCAGCTAATAGGCATCACCTGTCTCTTCATTGCTGCCAAAGTAGAGGTAAGAAGGGCCGGATTATACAGGATTTAACACGGGATGATCAGAATCCCCGGTTGTTAAGTAGCCTGTAGTAAATTGTTAAAAATTGTTGTTGTTGCTTTTTAGGTACACCATCTTAGTTGTATGACCCCTTCGGCAACATTTTACAATATGTATGTTGGTATGATCGATGGTTATAAAGCTCGATCTGTGTTTTTGCTTCTCCCAGGAGATGTACCCTCCCAAGGTCCACCAGTTTGCTTACGTTACAGACGAAGCCTGCACTGAAGATGAGATTCTCAGCATGGAAATCATCATTATGAAGGTAAACGGCACACACATTACTCACTTATCCATGGCACACAAACTGGTCTTCATATGTTACTATCACATGACCCAATCTCACCCCACCAATGGAGTTTTGGTATGTAAGTGGTATGAATCTTGTAATGATTGGCCCTTGAGTTACCTAAATGTAGTGGACAGCATGAGTTCTCTTCTAAAAGTAATTTGTTGTCTCAACCCTGGAACCATGAAAATGTTCAGTTTATTTAGATTTAAGTGAAGTAGTCAGTCGTATTGCTGCTATTTGACTTCTTCAACACTGCAGGTTGTCTGCTCTTCTCTTTTCTAACACAGGAGCTGAAGTGGAGTCTCAGCCCACAGACTCCCATCTCCTGGCTCAATGTTTACATGCAGGTGGCCTACCTGAAAGAGACAGACGAGCTTCTCATCCCCAGATACCCCCAAGCTACATTCACACAGATCGCAGAGGTATGTTGTGCAGGGTTTAAATTGATTTATCCATTAGGTAGTTCATTATTACAGAAAGGGGAGGCTTTGAGGAAGTCTACACAGTTGTGACCAACATTTCAACAATGCTGGTTGTAGTCAGGAGTGGCTAAGTATGTCATCAGGTACATTCACTTTCAAAAAGTCTGTTTTCACCACAGCTAGGTTTCCTTTTTCTGTACAAATATTTATTTTCTCACCCGTGATGTCTGAAACTGACAAATTCTAAAGCACGTCCTCAATTTATGAAAAACGATTACGCTCATGTGAGGTTACCTTTTCTTTTTTGTTCTCTTCTTTTTTTTCTTTTTTTTTTTTAAAGAGTTAATGTACCTAATGAGAACCCTTAATGGAAACCCCTTATTCTGAATATGTTTGGACCTAACAAACATGTAATTCACATGACTGATCAGCTGTCTCTGAAGAAGGGTTAGGGAATTTCTGCAGACCTCTCTATTTTCCTCTTTTAATTGGCTTATTGTGATTATTTGTTTGTTCTCTGAAACTACACAGCCTAGTTTATTAGCTCCAAACCAGTCTATGGAAACCCACTCCATTTGCATTTATTTTCTTTTCGCGACATTTCAAAAGTTCTCTTCAAATTTGCTTGACAGTTACATGAAAACATGGCTATTTTTGTGTAAAATAAAAAATAATCCCAATTGGTGTTTGAAGCTCTCGTCTGGTTTACATCCTCACCCACCCCCAATAAATTTACAAAGATTTTACTTCACTGGGTGAAAAACAGGATCCTAAGCAACTTTTTGAGAGACGACTTCATTCAGAGAAAGACAGTTTTAGCTCTTAATCTCTCTCATCCTTTGGTTTTAAGGCATCGCTGACCTGCAAGGACAGTTACCACATGCATAGGTCTCTTTAAGCGATCTCTGGATTACATATTACGACTGGTCAAGCTTTTATACCTCTATTTAGAGGTTATCGCACTTCTTGCTACCCTACAGAGCCACCAGTTGCACAGTGTAGCTTTGAGGATCAGTATTTGATCTGAAATCATGATCTGTCCCCTGTTGTTTTTTTTCTAACCATTTTGTAACACTTTTTGAAGTATACACTTGATGTTTATTTACAGTTGTTTATCTCCCCTCCCCAGTTGTTGGACCTGTGTATGCTAGATGTGCGTTGCCTTGAGTTTTCCAATGGCATCCTTGCTGCTTCAGCCCTGTTTCACTTCTCCTCTCTGGAGCTGGTGGAAAACGTCACAGGTATTAAAAAAAGAAATTTCTTTATTTGAGATTAATTCTGCTTGAGCAAAAGTTTCCTTAAAACAAATGAATATGCTTAGTGTTTTATTTGTAATGCTCCTGCTGGTGGTATCCAGGTTGTGTTGCCATGACTTTGTTCATTCGTCCTTCTGTCCACACAGCTCTGAAGAGGGTGGAGGTAGAGGAGTGCGTGAGGTGGATGGTGCCTTTCGCCATGGTGCTGCGGGAGGTTGGTGGGTCGCCTATGAAAACATTCACAGGTATCCCTGCTGATGACATGCACAACATCCAGACCCATGTCTCCTACATTACATGGCTGGTAAGTGAAAATGGACTATGAACACTCTGATTTTCTCAGATTTAATGTGTAAAGCAAGGAGAAAGGAGAACAAGCCAATGAAAATGACAGCAATCCTTTTGAATTTGAAGTCTAGTATTTTCCTGATCAGGCATCTGACAAATTGGGTCTGTTGTTGTTAATAATGATGATATCATCCTACAGCAGTGAAGTGGAAATTAGACTCCTTTTAAAATATGGCACTATTATTATTCTAAAGTGCTTTATGTGTCACTTTTTCATGATAAATATTTTTGAATAGAATATTGAATTAAAATTGGGACTTTTTTAAAAAATATATATTTTGGATAATTGTTATATTAATTGCATAACAAAAACATTATCGCCATAAATAAATAAGGCGTTAGATTAATCTTAAACTCAGATTTTAGGGCTTTACTGAGATACTGCCCCTCCCTTTTCGCCGCTTTCTAGCGACGCCATAATTCACCTGTGTATTTTTGTACTGTGTACAGGACAAGGCCTACTCTTACCACGATGTGGATTTGGAGCGTCACAGCAGCTGTCCTGTCCCTTCAGGGGTCCTGACTCCACCCCTGAGCATTGAGAAAACTGAAGAGTTGGTCCAAGTGGATCCTGCAGTGCTGAAAATGAGACAGGATGCATACTCATCACAACAGTACCTTTCAAAGTAACGAAGCAAACACTGAAACTGCCAAGGCAACAGCAAATCCTAATTTGACTTTTACATTATAGCTGAAAGTGGAAGAAAAACAGCTGATTTGTTGACTCTGAACAGCAGTACCAGTACACGCGTACAGTGGAGTTTCAGTGGGCAAACGTATTTTCTCTTTTCAAAGTCATGCTGATTACTTGATCCTGATGCTTTTAAACGTCTTCCCACAGGAGTCTTACCTACTTATCCCTGCGGGTTGGATGAACACACAAAGCAAAGGGCTGTTAGGGCTGGGGCAGCTCCAGAGGAGATTTTTGTTTTTGAATAGCATTTTACCCAAATGCTTGCATTAATTACCAACCACACCGACTTTTAGTGGTTGCCATTTTTTTTTCTATGCAGAGGCCAAATTGAATGGACATTTTATGGAGTCTCTACTTGATGTAGGGTAGGGGTGGGGATGTGTGTGTGTGTGTGTGTGTGTGTGCGTGCTGTTTTTAATATATCAGTGGCCTCATTTGCCCGAAAACTATTCCTAGGGTCATGTTTGGCTCTATGTGCTGCTATAAAAGTGGGCTTTGCATGATGGAGGGGAAAGTGTGTGTGTGTGTGTGTGTGTGTGTGCGTATGTATGAAATGGTATGTCCTTGTTTTTGGTTCTACTTTTGTCATTTTATTGGACAACATGTTTTGCTTAAGGACCAGTAGCTTGGCTACCTAAAATGGACAGGTGAACCAGCCAGGCTTCAGAAGCTAAAATATTGATTGTATTTAATTTTTATTTTTTATCCCAACCCGCGGTTTGTTTCACCACCACCAAAATGTAAGATTTCTATTTGACTTTTTAAAATAAAATGCTGCTACATATTTTCCATTAAAGACAGTTTGTGAGGACTCTTTAATGAATCTGTTGGGTTATGATTTTTGCAGCGATGAGCCTTTTTGTCAATGTTTTTGATGTAAGGAAGTGTGACTCCTGCCTTACTCTTCAGGAAGTCCCACATGCACACAGGCTTTATTCCACTAGATGTCAGTGTAATGCTGTCGTTTTGAATACATTCTGTTCTCACCAAGAAACAGACACATGCAAGTATACCATCACTAAGGTAACAGGACAGTGACTAGGGCAGATATGAGATATCGGGAGCAAACAGAAAGAACAAAGATATTAAGACCAAAGTTCCCACACAGTCCACACTGTGATTGCAGAATATGTGTATTTTAATGATTTTATTAAGCCGTACGCATTTACCTTTCTTAATTTTGACAAAATATATTCTGAATTGGGGATATTTTTATACAAGTCCTCAGTATAAGGACAGAGCAGGGGCGTGTCCAGTTTTTTTCAGGGGTGGCCTAAGTATCCAGACTACTCCATTTTAGTTTACAAACGGCAAATTAAAACAAATACCATCTCCGTCCACACCAGGGTTTTAGCTGCGTTTTGAAGTTGATCTCCCTCTACATTAAAATGATTGAAAACACATGGCTAGGGCCCGTTCAGGTACACTGAGTGTGCGTGTGCCAGTGTACATAATATTTTACAAAAAATACTATATCAAAAACCTGGTCAGTAGCATTGTGTTTCTGCTTTGCAAGACCCAATCAGAGAGCCGAGCGAGCAAAAAGTCCTGTGTTTTGGCCCGTCTTCACTAAAACGCCTTCCGGAGTTTTGAAACGCAAAGCGGGGTTTGGCAGCGTTTCCAAACTTGTCCGTTTTAGGTCTTCGTTTTTGTCTGGACGGGAGGTACAAACTGTGTAAAAAGTTCTCTGTTTTAAAACCAAAACGCAGTAGCGTGTATGGGGCCTAAGTGGCACTGACTTATACAGGGGTGGCATGAAGTATGTTTCTTTGCTCACACAATATTGTAATTTATCGCTTCTCATATATACTTAATTACTAACACTGTAACATCATACCGTTTATTACAAGCTTTGATATTATTCTTATTCTTCCAAAAAAATTCCACCTCCAAAAGTAGGTTACATACAAAAGAAAAGTTTACACATTCAAGAAGAAGTTAGCTCGGCTAGCGGAAGTCTCTGGTGTGCCTACATGGCCGCCATCATGGTTAAGGGAGGAAATGTGGAAGATGTGCCCATTTGCCACTGAGAAACTTAAATAGGAATGAACAGAGCCCCCATTCAATGCTGTATTCAGTTGTCTTTATAAGACATTTATATTTATTCAGTTAGCTGACGCTTTCATTCAAAGCAACTTACAATTGCTAAGTAGGCTATGTCAGAAGTTGCACGCCTCTGGAGCAACTAGGGGTCTAATGTCTTGCTCAGGGACACATTGGTAGATGTGTCACAGCAGGGAATTGAACCTGGGTCTCTCACACCAAAGGCATGTGTCTTATCATTACCACCCAACTTTATAAGACACTCCCTTGACACAGAGATTGCTGTCACTGTCCTTAAATTGATGACTGATTGATTATACTGGTGGTAACCAGGACCAAATTGGAAAATACAACATTTCTGAAAACACAGTATATCACAAAACACAACGACATAACAGAGAATGCAGCATTTCACAAAACAATAAAAGCAAAAAAGAAAACGCACTATTTCACAAAACTCATCAGCAAAACAGATAGGTCAGCAAAAAATATCAAGAAAAAATAAAATAAGTAAGTGCAGATTGTTTTCAATGGCAATTTTTACTTTCCATGCCAAAATCTAAAGTCACTGTCCTGGCTGCATACAATAAACGTCCATAAATCCATTTAGAAGTCAGAAACGGAAGCATTAGAACTTGAAAATCAAGTATCATTACATTTTGAAGTTTTCCTAATTATCAAAGTCTAGTGATGTCTGTAGATCCATGCAAACGGGAATTGCTAATAGCTAATTCGTCGTAGTTTTAATGGTGCCAATTTGCTGAAATGTAAACAACTTTAGTCTCAAAAGACCATTATCAACCTGCAGCTTACAACAGTCCATTTGAGTTTTAACTTTTCCTGTCGTCATATTGTACAATTTTCAGCATGTATTTTACAAAGAACAGGTCTTATGCCCCAAGCAGAGTACTGCAGTAGACTGAACTGGGATTGAATGATCTTCTCTTCAAAGCTTGACTTCATCACTGGTCTACAGCATGAGCTAGCTGAAGTAAGTTTTGTTTATTGCATTGGTTTTGTTAGTGTTTGCCTTACTCTTCATGGTATTTGTTAAATATGTACTGCTCTGTCTTTACGTGTTTGTCTTTTCGTTTGTCTTTAAATGTTGGTTTTCTTCTCTGTGAATTGATGCGAACAGTCCTTGATGTCTTGGGTCTGTTTTTTAAAGTGATGAAAACTGGCGGTTCATTAATGCAGGGTGCCGTTTTTTTGAATTTGTAAATTTTTATTAAATTTACAAACACTTTTGATTTATTCTGTGTGAATATACTTTCTGCGTGAAGGGCGCCGGCCAAATGTATGCAAGTCGGTCAGCTTTACTATGGATGCGCGACTGTCACTCCTGCTTGTTAGCTAGCTGACCAATAGACTAATCTCAGGAGATGGCAACATCAGGTGGAACTGCAGACAAAGAAAATGTGGTTATTTTCTTACAAAAACACCCTTTTACAAGGTGTTCACTGGAAGAAAAAAAACAGGATAACGGCACTTGGATTGGACTGACCCAATATATAAATTCAGCAGCAGGCAAGTGACCGAGGACGAGCTCACACCTGGGGCTTCTCCCGCTCTTGTCATGAGAAAAGGACTTAGCTGGATGTGGTGGATAATGCCATAGACTAATGCTTTCCCTGTCTGCTAATTCAGAGCGTCAGCACTGAAGCATTGTGGACAACGACGAGGATGCAAGACCTAAAAAAGGTTCCTGAAAAATACAATGCAAGACCTATGCTACAAGAAAGTAGCTGCTGCCATCTGGATAATAGTATGAGGCAAAAAAAAAAAATTAGGCAGGCTTAGCATTGCTGAACAGCTGGCATTTAAAGGCACAACGAAGAGGTGACAAGAAATTGCCACATCCTGTCAAGAATTATAGACTGTGTGAAATTTTGTGGAGCCTTTGAGTTGGCTTTGCGTGGCCATGATGGGAGTGAGCTCTCTGATGAGCCCGGGATATTCCGTGGGTTGGTGGGTTTTGTTGCCTCTGTGCAGAACGAGCCACTGGACTGTATGTTGTCTGTTGTGACGGAACACGTCCTCAAAGATGCCCAGAGCAGTGACTCCAGGCAGGTGAGACTGGATACTGCCAAACAGTTCCAACTGTACATTGTTAACAAAAACATAATTTGAGTTCACACCTCTGCAGTCAGCTGAGTCCACTGCTACAGCAATAAAATAGCTTTTGGCTGCCATCCTTCCTGAAAAGTAAGGTCATCTGCCAGTGTAATGAGGGGTGCCACTGCAGGTGTTCAGAGGAAAATACAAGATGTGTACCCATATGCCCACCACATCCACTGCTACACATCAGCTCAGCCTGATAATGCGACAGGCCACCTCTCACATATCCAAAGGGAGACTTTATGTTCTGACCTTGGCGGATTTGTCAGCTTTTTTTTCCAGATCACCCAAGATCTGACCACTTTCTTCATCTTATTCAGCAGTGACATATGTGTACAACCACCTGTTATTTATTGAGGCCCTCCCTGTTTGTTACACAGTATAAAATAATAACTTATATGTTTTACCTGTGAGCTTTTTGTATTGTGTTGTAAAAAAAAAAAAAAAAAAAGACAAAAAAGCCTGGTTTAGAAATCAGTTTAGTTCCTTAGTACGAGTTAGAAATCTGGAGTAGTTCATCACCCTCAAACCTGAAAGGAGAATTTCCTCCACCTTTTCTATGTAGATGTGCTCAGACACTTGTATTTAGCATTAGATAGAGAGTTACATCAGATGTCTGATGTATCAGCCGAGGGAATTTAATTCCAAGATATTTTTAACTTCAGGATTCTTTGCTACTCTACCAAAGCAATAATCTTTAGCTTCTCACATATTCACATTTTGTCCATCAGATGGCAGCAGAAGGCTCTATAAATGACCTTGGAGTCTGATATTTTATTACTATTTTTATGACTTCATAGAACAGTGGCAGTAAAAATGACTGTACTAGTTATATATTTAGAAATGGAACTGTTGCCTGTTGGAACTTTAGGTGATGTAGGTGGAATGGGCATTTTGTCATCTCTACATTATTTATTTTTTATTATTTTTTATTCTTCTCTCTCTAGGACTGTGATACCATACTGGGACACTTTAACGCTTCTCCTTCACAAACCAGCTGGTCAGTGCCTTCTTGCTGCAGGATGACAGGTTTGAACAGTGTGAGATTTCCTGAAGATGCACTGAGCAACACCTTGAAGGCTGAAGACAGAGCTTAGTTTCATCTACAGAAAGGAAGGAGGGAAGCCTGTTGTGGTGCTGTGGAACTATTCCAGTTGTTTATTGAGAATAATCTTAAAAAGGTCTCTTCAGAGGCTGTCACTCTCCTAAAGCTCCTCATCACCACACCAATGACCATGGCAGAAGCTGAGAGGTGCTTCTCAACCCTTGAAAGAAATTAAAACTTTCCTTAAAAACACCATCACCCAGGAGAGGCCGAATGCACTGGCCACGAAAAAGAGACAGGTAACTGAGACGACTGACTTTACTCAGAAAGTAATTAAGAAATGTGCAGGTCAGAAGCAAAGGAGAGCGAAATTCATGTTCAAGTAGTGCTCCTGACCAAGTGTCGTGTAGACATTACATTACGGTGTGTTTTTTCATTTGTTGCTGAGCTATGAAGTGCTGCTTCAGTTTGTTTGTCCCCCCACTTCATTTTTTTTTATCACCAGCCACCAGTGGAAATAAACCAGACTTGACTTTGTCTTCTCACATTAGCTGTGAGCTGGCTTTATGAAATACATCAATCATGGTTCA